GGCATCAAGGCGGCTCCGTTCTGGCATCAAGGCGGCTCCGTTCTGGGATCAAGGCGGCTCCGTTCTGGCATCAAGGCGGCTCCGTTCTGGGATCAAGGCGGCTCCGTTCTGGCATCAAGGCGGCTCCGTTCTGGCATCAAGGCGGCTCCGTTCTGGCATCAAGGCGGCTCCGTTCTGGCATCAAGGCAGCTCCGTTCTGGCATCAAGACGGCTCCGTTCTGGCATCAAGGCGGATCCGTTCTGGCATCAAGGCGGCTCCGTTCTGGCATCAAGGCGGCTCCGTTCTGGCATCAAGGCGGCTCCGTTCTGGCATCAAGGCGGCTCCATTCTAGCATCAAGGCGGCTCCGTTCTGGCATCAAGGCGCAAGATCGGAATTGATCAGTATCGATTTACGAACATGAGATTCAATATCTTCGTATTCCCGCTCATTTCTTCATTTGCGTGAGAGTAACAAATTGGATTTTATTCACAAGCTGTTTTACCCTTCTTCGTGCACATGCTATTGTTTCCTAACATTTCATCACTTTTCTTTACTTTCAGGTTTTGAAAGCAATACCCTCTTTTGGTGTGAAGGTAACACACTTTGGCATACCAACAACACTATCGGCTGGCTCTCAGGAGATACATCCATCAATCCTCAAAAGGTGACTTTCGGAAAAACTGTGTTTGCATCCATATCTTTCCTGTACAGGAACAACTATCTGCTGTTCGGCGAGAAGGGCAGCGGTACAATCTTCCTGTACAGGGACACGCCCGATCGTGTTGCTACTTACACCCAGGTCGGCACATCAGAAAAAATAGGAGAACTTGCCGTTGATTGGGTGAACTTCAATGTATACTGGTGCGACAGTGTCTATTCGTGGATTGGCTTGCAGGCCATAGCACGTGACCTGAGCAGGATCTCCTACAATGACAAGCAGCGGATTATTGTTGAGAAGTCCCTTGAGACGCCTTACGGTATCGCGGTGTCCCCTGAACACAGGTACGTTTAGCACTACATTCAGGAAAACTGTGTTAGGTTGTTTGTTGCCTCAGCAGTATATTCCAGTTGTGTGTAGGTTGTAATTCATCGAGTCGGAATTGGCAACACAGAGACCGATATTATGAACACCGATACACAACGTTCTGCAGTTATTTAGTCACAGACACTGAACACTCGATCCATTAAACCGCCTTTTACAACGAACTGACTGCTCGGAATCAGTGGGGTTTACTGTAGTCCCGATGGGGTAAACACTCTGAAGCACTGAGCAAGTGCGTGATCTGGAAAACCCTCATGTTTATTATGTCGGTATTTATAAAAACAGAAAAAAAAGAAACGGCGCTTCACATAAATGTTTAAAAAAAAGTAAATTTTCTTCGGAGGTTCGAGGTGCATGTCAAAACATATTCAGTATGGAATCGACTAATGATGGACAATTTGCACATATAGTTGTATATTTGTATAGTTTGGATGTTTGAGAGCGGGATGCTCACACGTCTGGTTTATTAATATGAATATGATATACCATAAAATTTACATCACTTTATAAGAAACACAGTTACCTTTTCCATTACGGTAGAGAACTAAAACCATAGCAGAGCCATGTTCTCCATAGACCACATGCACATAACGTCTTCAGGAAGATTTCAGATGTAACAAATGTGAACCTTTTAGATTGCACTTTCTTGGTAAGGGTAAGAACTCTAGAATGGTATTCTAACCCTCTCTGAGAGTAAGGCATCTCCAGCACACACAGTGAGCAATGACAGCAATGAGGTTTATAAACCAAACTGATCATGATTTCAAATTATCTTTGTTTGGTTTTCTGTTTTGGAAAAACATATTTGACATCACCAATGCACTTAAAAACTTATCTTTATTTAACGTCAACAGTTTTATTTTCTGGACTGACCATGGGAGCAAGCCCCGGATAGAACGAGCGACTTTACAGGGCAAACAGAGACGGCCGCTCATCTGGACGGGGCTACAACGTCCGATGGCGATCACCGTCGACCCACAAACCACGAAGTTGTTCTGGATCGACCATGCACGTGCCACCTTGGAGACCTGCAACTTTGAGGGTGAAGGTCGCCGGGTTGTACTACAACGGGTGGGCTACAGACTGACGAGTGTGGCGGTATTCCAGGTACGACAATGTCGATGTGAAATATCAACGACAGAACAAAAGTATCAATCGATTGTTTACCCAAACAGATTCCATGCGTAAAGGAAATTGTATGAATGGATCTCTGAAAATCATCGCATATACACCAGCGTATCACATAGAATGGTCAGCCAATCGCAATTATACAAATTTGAGTGAAACCCCTCTGAGCCGGACATAGGAAGTCCAGAATTGCTTCCTATTTGATGGCTATAACTGGAAACGTGCTAATATTAAAAACCACATACAGTGAACTGCTTTAATTCAATTTTTGCGGTCTATCCAGTCACAGTCCGGCTTTACGGGGTTGAGTAAAGTAAGTTAGCCATATATGTTAAGGTTAGGTGAAAACAGTAGTAGTTCTGCTTTGTTTAATGCAAATATTAATTTAATATTTGATTCTGGACCAGACAAACCAGTGGTTGATGACATAAGCAAATGCTCATGCTTTCGGGAACCGCAATACGTAGATCCCGCACTTCACCCGTCCGGGTCCACTTGGTCACCTCGCACAAATAACACAGACAGGATTCAACCCTCAATATCCAACATGTAGTTCTATATGGTAATGGAACTGAAATACAGTTATCCCAGGGCATATAAGCCAAGTGTAGGGGTGTCAATTGTTGTGAAATTATAGATGGAGGCAAGAGAGAAGCCGAAGAAACTACCAAAATAGAGACAGAGACTTATTGACTCAGTTGGGTGTAAGGTCGGTGTCGGATATCACTACCTGTCGGTTGAATATTTCGGGTCTATCACTACCTGTCGGTTGAATATTTCGGGTCTATCACTACCTGTCGGTTGATTATTTCGGGTCTATCACTACCTGTCGGTTGATTATTTCGGGTATATCACTACCTGTCGGTTGAATATTTCGGGTATATCAACGCCTGATCAGTTGATTATTTCGATATATCAATGCCTGTCAGTTACATATGTTGGATATTTTACAGGCCTCATAGTGGATTATTTCGGATATATCAGTGTCTGTCAGTTACATATGTCGGATATTTTACAGGCCTAATAGTTGATTAGTTCGGATATATCACTAGATGCCGGTTGATTATTTCGGATATATCACTGCCTGCCAGTTGTTAGTTCGGATATACCGAGGCCTGTCAGTTGGTAGTTCGGATATATCACTGCCTGCCAGTTGTTAGTTTGGATATCGAGGCCTGTCAGTTGTTAGTTCGGATATATCGTGGCCTGTCAGTTGTTAGTTCGGATATATCACTGCCTGTCAGTTGGTAGTTCGGATATGTCGAGGCCTGCCAGTTGTCATTTCGGATATATCGAGGCCTGCCAGTTGTTAGTTCGGATACATCGAGACCTGTCAGTTGTTAGTTCGGATACATCGAGGCCTGTCAGTTGTTAGTTCGGATATATCGAGGCCTGCCAGTTGTTAGTTCGGATATATCATTGCCTGCCAGTTTTTAGTTCGGATATCGAGGCCTGTCAGTTGTTAGTTCGGATATATCGAGGCCTGTCAGTTGTCAGATCGGATACATCGAGGCCTGTCAGTTGTTGGTTCGGATATATCGAGGGCTGTTAGTTCGGATATATTACTGCCTGCCAGTTGGTAGTTTGGATATCGAGGCCTGTCAGTTGTTAGGTCGGATATATCGAAGCCTGTCAGTTGTTAGTTCGGATATATCGAGGCCTGTCAGTTGTAAGTTGGGATATATCGAGGCCTGTCAGTTGTCAGTTCGGATATATCGAGGCCTGTCAGTTGTTGGTTTGGATATCGAGGCCTGTCAGTTGTTAGTTCGGATATATCGAGGGCTGCCAGTTGTTAGGTCGGATATATCACTGCCTGCCAGTTGGTAGATCGGATATCGAGGCCTGTCAGTTGTTAGTTTGGATATATCGAGGCCTGTCAGTTGTTATGTCGGATATATCACTACCTGCCAGTTGTTAGCTCGGATATCGAGGCCTGCCAGTTGTCAGTTCGGATATATCGAGGCCTGTCAGTTGTTAGTTTGGATATATCGAGGCCTGTCAGTTGTTAGTTCGCATATATCACTGCCTGCCAGTCGTTAGGTCGGATATATCACTGCCTGTTAGTTGTTAGTTCGGATATCGAGGCCTGTCAGTTGTTAGTTCGGATATATCGAGGGCTGTTAGTTCGGATATATTACTGCCTGCCAGTTGGTGGTTTGGATATCGAGGCCTGTCAGTTGTTAGGTCGGATATATCGAGGCCTGTCAGTTGTTAATTCGGATATATCGAGGCCTGTCAGTTGTAAGTTGGGATATATCGAGGCCTGTCAGTTGTTAGTTTGGATATATCGAGGCCTGTCAGTTGTTATGTCGGATATATCACTACCTGCCAGTTGGTAGTTCGGATATCGAGGCCTGTCAGTTGTCAGTTCGGATATATCGAGGCCTGTCAGTTGTTAGGTCGGATATATCGAAGCCTGTTAGTTGTTAGTTCTGATATGTCGAGGCCTGTCAGTTGTTTGTTCGGATATATCGAGGCCTGTCAGTTGTTAGTTCGGATATATCGAAAATTGGAACTGACGCACGTCGTCGAACTCTACGAGAAAGAAAAAAAGAAACTTCGAATCAGGGATTTGATAACACGATGATTGATTTCTTGTAACCTGTTTTAAAGGGGCGCAACTCTGTACAGCTGATTAAGCGGGGGGTCATCTGTTTCCGGATACAGCAAATATTTAACTCTGAAACTATAGGTACATTTGGTATAGTCACGGCTCCGTCCTTCCCGTACTGAGTTGTCTGATACGCGAAAACATACCACTTCTGTTTCAGGAGCATCTCCTGTTTACGGAAGCAAATGGTAAATCCATAAATGTTGTGAACAAGGACACGGGCGTGACGTCAGCACGTATGTTGCCCTTCACCTATGAACCTGTGGGCGTGGCGGTGTTTTCGGCGTCCCTGCAGCCCTTTACGCAAAGTAAGTCGTAGCATTTATGGTATATACTTTATAACATGTTTGTATTGTACCATTCAGAGGGAGGAGTTGATTTGGAAACTCGAACACAGCCACTGGAACCAGATGACGTCAGCCAACATCATCACATAGCGTGTGTATTTTGTCTTCTTTTACTTGGACACGGAAGTGACGTCATGGCATCCCACGCTCGTCTAGCAAATGATGGCTTTTCTCTCCGTTAGATTTGACGATTAACATCGTGCCAACAACTCGGTCACAAATTGGAGCTGACTATTTGTCTGAAAAGAATTAAGATATTACATTCGATAATCCATTTTATTCTGTCTTAAAATTTTCAATACCGGTATGGATTTGTTTTTCCTACATTAAATATGTTTTCTTGTAAAATATGTAAAATGGAAATGATGCTAACTTGTATGTTGAAGGCATAACCACACCCGGTGCTAGCCGTACTATTTATTTCCTTTATATTTTTGTACATGATTCATTTTGTGGTACTAGTATCACAAATGCCATCGTAAATATTGTGAAATTAGTCCAGGATCTCACAATTCGATATGGTTTTACAGATATCTTGAAATCGATCTTGTGATGTCAATAAATACATTTTTCCTACATGCAACAGAAAATGAGCAATCAGTCAACAAGTTTGTCTCACATCTCTCACATTTTAGGTAATTTCCCATATATTATTTATGAATTTCTTTTGTGCTCGTTTTATTACGCATTCCAACTAATTATATCTTTGAAAAAGCGAAATACGACACCTGGTTGATATAGCACTCTTTATAGGCTTAATTAAGTGATGATCTTTTGCGAAGAGGTATTTGATATCACAACCGCAAATAGATTTGTTGATGTATATTATTGCCACTATCACAAGACGAATGATATAAATCATTTGAACTGTAAGATATTTTTGAACGAATTTCGATCGGTATCAAGAAATAGCCTTTTCGATATAAAAGCCTGATTTTCCAAAATAAAAAATGCCATTTGAAATATAATTTTATATAAAAATACATTGGTAATATCACACATTCATTTTATGATATCATCAAATTTCTGATCGTCATTGAAATCATTTTGACATCATAAAATCGATCTGGTGATGGAAATTCAGTTTGTGATATCAACAACATGGAAGATAAAAGTCTTACTTGCTTGAACAGCAGCATCGCTGCTGGTGGCGACTCTTAATGCCACAATTCAAAGATGTAGTTGTCACTGCTACATTGTGGGTTAAATAGGTGACTCGTCTCAGTCACGTACATGGGAAGCCATCCTTGGCGTTATCCGTAAAGACATGACTCAACTAGGTTCAATTCGGCGTAGCAAGCGTCACTCATCCAGATCAATGACTCATTGTGTTGCAGGTGACTGTGACAGTCAAGGATGTAGCCATATCTGCGTTGAGGAACAAGTGGCGCCACCTGTCTCTGTGAAGGGGGCTTCACTCTCGCCGCTGATCAGAAGACGTGCACAGGTCAGGTTTATCTCTACAACCTGGAGAGATCTGAACCCTCTTTAAATCGTGGGCGGCTGGGTGCCTGCGTGGCAGAGTGGAGAGGGGTAGGGTGCTATGAGGTTGCAGGGTTGATCTGGGTGCGGCGGAGGGGCGTGGTGGGATGGGGTGGGTTTCGGTGCTGCGAGGGACGGCGCTGCAGGGTTGAATGGGGTGCGAGTGACTGTGGCGTGGCGGGATGGGGTGTGGTGGGGTGCTGCGAAGTGTGCCGAACCATGGATTAGCAAATCACAATAATCATCCCTGGTTCATTAACGCGGAAGCTGATATCTGCAGAAAAGTACTTCATTTTTAGCCCCAGGCATTTCAAATATAGTACAAGTACTATTGGGATTAAAGCTTAGTTTGCCTGACATAGCTCGAGATACACACTGATTTCACGACCACCGACGAACCTGACGACTACCGACCCCGTAATTCGCCACTTACGACAAGAACGGGTTGATGATGACCAGTGCTAACCCATACACGGTATACGTTTTGCAGCAGCTGCACCCACGACGCTATGGAAAGGCATCATCTACTCCAACCGCAGCGACATCTGCTCCATTCCCGTCACCACGATCAACAGCCATCCGTACGTTATGGCGGAGGTCACGTGTTTTGCTTCCGGCGCAAACATAACCTTCATTGCTCCAGATGTCCAGTCGTCTGCAATTTACTATTCCTCGGGAAACTCTGTTATGAAGAAGATCATTGGTGCTTCTGTTTCAATGGTCACAACAACGACCAACGAGATCACAGGTAACGCATAACTTAGATGTATAGAATATATTGTGTTCATCAAGCAAGATGGCATGCTGATCTTGTCTGCTGACCCGGACAAATTGATGAATCTTCGAGTGAAATGTTTAGATTGAGATTAACTTGTTTACAAGAAAAGTCATGGTCTCTGCATTAAGTATTTACTTATTATTGTAAGAGGAAACGGAAACTGTCGATGCAGACTGAATGTAGTACAATCCTAAAATGAAATTTAGTCACAGAAAATATATAAATATATTGTTTTCTTAAAGAAATATTATATAAAGATTTATACCATTACCAGGTTTAGTGCTGGACTACACTACAAACACCGTCATCTGGTCAGAACGGAGCGGAGGCACCATTGTGGCTCGTGGCACAGCTGCCAACTCAAGGTCAAGGACGTTATTCGGAGGGTTGGACTCACCTGCAGATATCACACTCAACTCTAAAGACCGGTGGGTAAAACTGACTCAGTGACTTCCCATTGACGGCGTGTCGCTGCAGCGAATCCTGGAGTCTTATCATTTGTTTAGCAGAGGTCATGTCAGAGGTCATGAGAAATATCCTACATTTTGTCTTGTCTTGAGCAAACAGAAAATAGTTAAACATAGAGATTTTTTCTGGGTTACATCTTCTTTTTATTCTGGTATTAAGATGTAACCCAGAAAAAAACTCTATGTTCATCAAATATCATCTTCTAAAATGCCAATCAAGCAGAAAATAGTTAATTCTTGTCCAATGTCCTTGAAGGTTGTTTGGGTCAGCATCGTATAGTGGATTATAAGTGGATAGCTATCTCCGACATTTTGATCAAGTCTTGTCTCGTGTCCATAAAAATGAATTGAGACAGCGCCAGGTCCTGATAGTGGATAGCTATCTTCGACTGTTTGATCAAGTCTTGTCTCATGTCCATAAAAATGAATTGAGACAGCGCCAGGTCCTGAGCTATCTTCGACTGTTTGATCAAGTATTGTCTCATGTCCATAAAAACGAATTGAGACAGCGCCAGGTCCTGATAGTGGATAGCTATCTTCGACTGTTTGATCAAGTCTTGTCTCATGTCCATAAAAATGAATTGAGACAGCGCCAGGTCCTGAGCTACCTTCGACTGTTTGATCAGGTCTTGTCTCATGTCCACAATATGCTTTGTTTCAGCATTCTCTACTGGATATCATCTTTTGGCACTGGCCGGATAATGAAGGGGGGCGTAGACGGGGGGTCGGCATCTGAGATGGTCGGGGACCTCAGCAGGCAGCCAGTCAGGATTACGTTTGACCGTCATATGAACAGGTTCGTACATTGGGTCGGGGAGCAGATCTTTTCTTGAACTTTTAAACAAAGAATAATCATGTATTAATATCAATCACACGTTCTCTTTGTGTTTATTACACTTGAGTTGAACAGGGTCGATCAGGGTAGTCTGGTGGTTAAAAAGTTTGCTCGTTGCGCCGAAAACCCGAGTTTGATTTCACAAATGGTGAACATATTTGTGGTATCCACTGAAGTAATGTTGTAATAATGCTGAACGGGAGGTAACCCACACATACGCACATAGTTGAAAGTATCACAATACTATTGTCAAACCAGTGCGCAATGTCTTCACAGTTGCTTTTTTGCAACTAAGTTCGGCAGACCGTCATACGTGTTACCATGACACCAAGTGTTCCTCTCTTCTGTTCTGATGGTCAACTGTCTGTTCTTGTAGATTATACTGGACGGAATCCGGCCAGGTGGGGACAATCAGTGCAGACGGGAGCGGGAAGAGGACATACCCGTCAGACACTCTACATCAGTACACCGGGGTGACGGTGTTCAAGGTAAGTCTTTAAAATATTTACCTGAATACCCCGGGATTGAAGGTTCAAGGGAGTTACTGTCTTTAGGTAACTCCTTTAGATGTGCAAAGGGTAAATCAGAGAGCGTTCTTGTTTAGAAAATGTGCTTCTAAACTGTGTCATTTAATAATGATAAAATACGGTTCCTCGATTTGCTGTATGTTTGCAACTTCAAAGAGGTGAAAATAATACTTTTTTACAAATATTTTCAAAAATGTTTTTTTATTTAACTTTATCCCTCAGTTGCAATTTACAACAAGGTACTTAGGAAAAACTGTTGCCTCTCTACTGAAGTGAAATGACAATTGATCATACATTATCATATAAATAAAATATAAGTGCTGGTGCATTTGAATGCTGTCTGTGAGAGGACCTTGTTAATAAACAAACATATTATTTCATGCTGTATTACATGGCTTTGCGTGTTACACGACCTTGGGTGTTACATGATCTAGGGTGTTACATGGCCTTGTGTGTTACATGATCTAGGGTGTTACATGGCCTTGCGTGTTACATGACCTTGGGTGTTACATGATCTAGGGTGTTACATGGCCTTGTGTGTTACATGACCTTGGGTGTTACATGACCTTGGGTGTTACATGAACTTGGGTGTTACATGAACTTGGGTGTTACATGATCTAGGGTGTTACACGACCTTGGGTGTTACATGATCTAGGGCGTTACATGACCTTGGGTGTTACATGATCTAGGGTGTTACATGATCTAGGGTGTTACATGACCTTGAATGTTACATGAACTTGGGTGTTACATGATCTAGGGTGTTACATGGCCTTGTGTGTTACATGACCTTGGGTGTTACATGACCTTGGGTGTTACATGAACTTGGGTGTTACACGACCTTGGTTGTTACATGATCTAGGGTTTTACATGACCTTGGGTGTTACATGACATTGGGTGTTACATGATCTAGGGTGTTACATGATCTAGGGTGTTACACGACCTTGGGTGTTACATGATCTAGGGTGTTACATGACCTTGGGTGTTACATGATCTAGGGTGTTACATGATCTTGGGTGTTACATGACCTTGGGTGTTACATGATCTAGGGTGTTACATGACCTTGGGTGTTACATGACCTTGGGTGTTACATGATCTTGGGTGTTACATGACCTTGGGTGTTACATGATCTAGGGTGTTACATGACCTTGGGTGTTACATGACCTTGGGTGTTACATGACCTTGGGTGTTACATGAACTTGGGTGTTACATGAACTTGGGTGTTACATGATCTAGGGTGTTACACGACCTTGGGTGTTACATGATCTAGGGTGTTACATGACATTCTAGGGTGTTACATGATCTAGGGTGTTACATGACCTTGAGTGTTACTTGGGTGTTACATGATCTAGGGTGTTACATGGCCTTGTGTGTTACATGACCTTGGGTGTTACATGAACTTAGGTGGGTGTTACATGATTAAAGGGGTGTTACATGACCTTGGGTGTTACATGACCTTGGGTGTTACATGATCTAGGGTGTTACATGATCTAGGGTGTTACACGACCTTGGGTGTTACATGATCTAGGGTGTTACATGACCTTGGGTGTTACATGATCTAGGGTGTTACATGACCTTGGGTGTTACATGACCTTGGGTGTTACATGATCTTGGGTGTTACATGACCTTGGGTGTTACATGATCTAGGGTGTTACATGATCTAGGGTGTTACATGACCTTGGGTGTTACATGATCTAGGGTGTTACATGACCTTGGGTGTTACATGATGATCTAGGGTGTTACATGATCTAAGGTGTTACATGATCTACACATGACCTTGGGTGTTACATGACCTTGGGTGTTACATGACATTGGGTGTTACATGACATGATGGGTGTTACATGATCTAGGGTGTTACACGACCTTGGGTGTTACATGATCTAGGGAGTTACATGACCTTGGGTGTTACATGAACTTGGGTGTTACATGACCTTGGGTGTTACATGATCTAGGGTGTTACATGATCTAGGGTGTTACACGACCTTGGTTGTTACATGATCTAGGGTGTTACATGACCTTGGGTGTTACATGACATTGGGTGTTACATGAACCTGGGTGTTACATGATCTAGGGTGTTACACGACCTTGGGTGTTACATGATCTAGGGTGTTACATGACCTTGGGTGTTACATGATCTAGGGTGTTACATTATCTAGGGTGTTACATGATCTTGGGTGTTACATGATCTAGGGTGCTACATGACCTTGGGTGTTACATGACCTTGGTTGTTACATGACATTGGGTGTTACATGACCTTGGGTGTTACATGAACTTGGGTGTCACATGAACTTGGGTGTTACATGATTTAGGGTGTTACATGATCTTGGGTGTTACATGATCTTGGGTGTTACATGACATTGGGTGTTATTATGAACCTGGGTGTTACATGATCTAGGGTGTTACACGACCTTGGGTGTTACATGATCTAGGGTGTTACATGACCTTGGGTGTTACATGATCTAGGGTGTTACATGATCTAGGGTGTTACATGACCTTGGGTGTTACATGATCTAGGGTGTTACATGATCTAGGGTGTTACATGAACTTGGGTGTTACATGATCTAGGGTGCTACATGACCTTGGGTGTTACATGACCTTGGGTGTTACATGATCTAGGGTGTTACATGACCTTGGGTGTTACATGAACTTGGGTGTTACATGACCTTGGGTGTTACATGATTTAGGGTGTTACATGTCCTTGGGTGTTACATGACCTTGGGTGTTACATGAACTTGGGTGTTACATGATCTAGGGTGTTACATGATCTAGGGTGTTACATGACCTTGGGTGTTACATGATCTAGGGTGTTACATGTCCTTGGGTGTTACATGACCTTGGGTGTTACATGATCTAGGGTGTTACATGATCTAGGGTGTTACATGACCTTGGGTGTTACATGATCTAGGGTGTTACATGATCTAGGGTGTTACATGACCTTGGGTGTTACATGATCTAGGGTGTTACATGACCTTGGGTGTTACATGAACTTGGGTGTTACATGATCTAGGGTGTTACACGACCTTGGGTGTTACATGATGAACTAGGGTGTTACATGATCTAGGGTGTTACATGACCTTGGGTGTTACATGAACTTGGGTGTTACATGATCTAGGGTGTTACATGACGTTGGGTGTTACATGATTTAGGGTGTTACATGGACTTGGGTGTTACATGAACTTGGGTGTTACATGACCTTGGGTGTTACATGATCTAGGGTGTTACACGACCTTGGGTGTTACATGATCTAGGGTGTTACATGACCTTGGGTGTTACATGATCTAGGGTGTTACATGACCTTGGGTGTTACATGAACTTGGGTGTTACATGATCTAGGGTGTTACATGATCTAGGGTGTTACTTCACCTTGTATGTAACGTTTGTGTTGCATACAGAACTACCTTCTATGGGCTGCCATCGATAAAGATGGAGTGAAGATAAATGTGTCGGTCATCAGTGGGGACGGTCTGGAGGCCCAAACACCTTTCAGCGTGCCTGGGATGACCCACGTGACGGACATAGTGGCCTACGACACCGACGACAATCCTGCCGTAATAAGTAAGCCGGCTATCTTTCCATACAGCCTCTGCATTCACTGTCTTCACGTTGTATTCCTATGGGACGGTGACGTGAACGTCATGGCGATGTTTCGAGATATCACCAGCGTCTTCTATGTGACCATGTATTGAATGGGTTCCCCGGGGTCAATGTTTCGAGATATCACCAGCGTCTTCTATGTGACCATGTACTGAATGGGTTCCCCGGGGTCAATGTTTGGAGATATCACCAGCGTCTTCTATGTGACCATGTATTGAATGGGTTCCCCGGGGTCAATGTTTGGAGATATCACCAGCGTCTTCTATGTGACCATGTATTGAATGGGTTCCCCGGGGTCAATGTTTGGAGATATCACCAGCGTCTTCTATGTGACCATGTATTAAATGGTTCCCCAATGTTTCGAGATATCACGAGCGTCTTCTATGTGACCATGTATTGAATGGGTTCCCCGGGGTCAATGTTTCGAGATATCACCAGCGTCTTCTATGTGACCATGTATTGAATGGTTCCCCGGGGTCAATGTTTCGAGATATCACCAGCGTCTTCTATGTGACCATATATTGAATGGTTCCCCGGGGTCAATGTTTCGAGATATCACCAGCGTCTTCTATGTGACTATGTATTGAATGGGTTCGCCGGGGTCAATGAACGTTCATAGTCTACAACTGTCGCAGTTCCGTTAGCATAGACTTACTAGTGCCGTAACTATGTTCTTCAGTTGACACTTGCGGGTGTCGTAAAGCTACGAGCTCTTTGTTTATCGGAGGCCATCATCCTACATCATGTGGGGGAAGTCAGAGTCAGTGAGTCAGTTTAGTTTTACGCCGCTTTTAGCAATATTCCAGCAATATCAGGACGGTGCACACCAGAAATTGCCTTCACAGATTGTACCCATGCGGGGAATCGAACCCAGATCTTCGGAAAATCAGATGTACTTATGGGCAAAAATGTGAGCAACATGCAGGACATGGTCAGACCATAGCAAAACAATGTGAATTGTTTCTTACATACTTATTCAGCATAGCAGACAGTGTTACCTTCAAATGATCATTTCTGTTAGACAAGTCTTACATAACGTAATGTTGAATTTACTCATCTACTTGATTGACGCTTATTTCGTCGTTGCAATCAGGATCTGAGGTATCCTGTGTATTGTTGTAAATAGAGCGGTCGTATGTTGCAGATCCTTGTGACGCGGACAACGGTGGTTGTGATCACCTCTGCCTTCCTGTGCAGGACACCTTCAAGTGCTACTGTAACTTCGGCTACAGATTGCAGTCGAATCAGAAGACGTGTCGCTCATGTATGTCCTTAGAGAATCATCTCAGACTAGTCCCTACTACAGCAGTGTCATGTGGTATTAATATGTTACACAAACCAGAAGATGTAGGTACAATTTGAACATTTGAAGATGAACTCCCCACGCCAAACTGAGTTGAGTTGAGTTGGGCTTTACGTCACATCGGCATTATTCTAGTCTGCATTAATAAATATTGTAAGTACAGAGTCAAAATGAGTTTCATTTCAAAAACATATATTCATTACATTGTCATTTAAAGACAGAAAAAGTCATAGCACTAAATTTAGAAGCAGGCAATTTGTTAGTCACATTACACAGTTATAATTTATGATACAGATCAACTTCCCTCAGGTAGTTCACTATCAGATGAGCGCTCACGCGGGAGAACAGATCTTTCAGATTTGTTGCAATGTGAGTCCCTTGCAGACGATAAGTCCACACAGTCAAGCAGAATATGCTTGATGGTGAAAACCATATTGTAAGAGACACGCATGGGTGGTCCATCCCCATCCTTTTTCAGCAGATAGCCATGTGTAAACCGACTAAGGCCAATACGACATCGTCGTAAAATTACCTCATCACGTCTTGACTGACAACCCAAGTAGGTATAACCAATTGTTGGCTTCAATTCATACAGTTTATTTATTCCTACTTGAGTGTCCCACCTTTTTTGCATGATGTCCCGAGTATAGCTTTTGATAGTGGGTTTGAAATCACTGTACGGGATCAGCAGTGGAGATAAGGGCTTGTCAAGAGCTGCTTTAGCTGCGCTGACTTCGGCGATGCTGGCTGGGGCGGGATCAGTCCGAGATTGTTTAGAATATATACTAATAAATTACGTGTGTTCCAAAATACTGGAACAAACATTATCCTTAGGTTTGCGAACAAAAATATACTTATCTCATTTTTGAGGATTAAATCATTACTTTTGTGAACAATAAGAATCAATGATTACACAATGCAGAATTAACACAGGGGAGATTAATGAAGAAGACAGTCTAACAGTTTCTACCTGTTGTGAAGCACGAACACTCCACGATAAGTGCTGTCCTGTTGTTTGCAGTTGTTGTTCAGAAGGACTTCTTCTTGGTGCTGGACGAGACCACCATGAGGATCCACCAAGTGGCCGAGGCAGACGGCGCCGTGCATACCGTCCCCATTCTGAAAGACAACAACATCAGTGTCATCACGTTCGACGTGAAGCTGAGGAAGGTGGTGTGGTACGACGCCAGGAGACACATCATCAAGAAGGCGAATCTGGACGGGTCAGAGGAAGACACTGTCATCAGTACTGGTACGTTATGCAGCGTCCATAGTGAACTTGTGGGAATCAGAGCAGCTATACACTAATGTACACTAAGAGGTCACCAGCAAGTGCTTCCAGTGAAACTCATTGAATGAGTGAAGACGTATTGCGGTGCCTTAGGCCCGAACCTTTCGCAGTTTGATCACGAGGAATAGCTATATGGGCAGACCACATGCGCTGTCCCGAACAGAGTAAGATAAAGCTAAATCGTAATTATGTGTGTTTCGTCAATAAAGTAAACGTCGAAGAGGAGTAAACGACTTTTCATGATCATTCACACAAAGACGGAGTAGGAATAAGTACTACAAAACATTGTGCTTACAAATAAAGCATTTGATGTATAAAAATATTCCTCTCTTCTAACTCCTCTCTTTTCGGGCTTTCTTCCCACATTAGACTAACACGCCCTAGCTGAAATACAGTTTCAACATTAAATCATCACTAACTCTTAGTAATAGTATGATGGTCACGTGTGACAATGTACTAAGCATAAATTGATACTTTCCAGTTGGTGTTAACAACGAATGTGAAGATTTATGTTAAATTTGTTGAAACGGTTCGTGTATTCCTCTTTAGAAACGCAGACTGTGAAGGACATGGAGATTGACCCCTCTACAAGCAACATCTTCTACACTGTGTCGTCCCCCCTCGGCGGCGGGGCAGTATATGTTGTTACACATGATGGCGTCACGACCAGGACGTTAAGAAGGACCACAGAGAACCCTGGGGCGATAACTCTCTACCCCAGATCAGGGTAAGTACTGACGGCAGTACAAACAGTGTGGCTTGTTCATGTGTGATCTCTTGTTGTATTTGACCTCAGGGATACTCCAGCTCTGTGAGGACGGAATTGGCATAGGGCTGTAAATAACCGTGTCTATCAACCCATGCATCGATGTTATGATACAGGATCTCGGCCATGTTCTTCAAATTCACCCAACAGAATTTTGGGTCAGCGCTATATCCTTCGTTGAGTGTGGAGTATGGTATTGAAATGCGTTGAAGGTACAAACCCGTCTGGTGATATGTAATATGTTTAAAACAATTGACTGATTATTTAATATTTGTAGACTGCTTGTATGGGCCGAGGGTTCTGTAATCAAAATGGCAGACATGAGCGGAAGTGGCGTATCAACGTTGAGTCTATCAGGCCTCACGACAATCAGCGACCTAAAGATTGATCCTGACGGTAGGTGTTCTGTACCACCATACATCAAGTAAACTGTAAATGGGTTCTTTGTCTCACTTAGAAGGAACTGCAACTGTGAACTGTTACTTGGGGGATATTACATGACGTCATGGAGGTATATCAGCAGATCTGTCTCCTCTGTGTACCAACACCTAAACTTAGATGGTTTGGGAAAATATCCTTTTCATTTTATGCAGCAACATTGTGGAATGAATTGCCTGTTGACTTGAACAAAATTGAAAATCTCTGCACTTTCAAAAGGACTTTAAAGACCTTCCAGCCTTCTAGCAACACAGCCTAATCTTGCCCCTAGTTACAAACTTTGTAAAAACCAGTAGACTGTTGTTAGCGCTGTGAGCATTCACCCAGTGAATGGAGTTTAGCGCATTATAAATACACTTATTATTATCAACAAAGAATTTAGCGAGACGAGCAAATTGTTCACTTTAATATCTGAAGGATGTCAACTCTTCTTGTAACTTATTTATTTCCATGCAAGAAATGACAACGACGTGAGCGGATGACCTTGATATCTTACGTGAACTTCAACTCCCGGTGTTTCAGGAACAACTTTGTACGTCGCGGACTCCGACGGAGACAAGATACACAGCATCAACCTGCAGACTCGATCACAGAAGGAACTGCGTAAGAACAACCAAGAGTTTCCGGTGGCCCTAGCGGTAAAGGGAGATAACCTGTACTACATCGACAGATCTGGGAGGTAGGCTGTGCCACCATACATTGTGACTAAGATGTCTTCACAAATTCAGAAACATGTTAATTCCTATATCTGTGATTCTAAATAAAACCGTGATATGAAAGGATTTCAAAACATGTATGTACAAAACAAATGCGAATAGTTTAGATACATTAATCGCCATGTTTTACATTGAAAGGAGTATAAAAGCTATCCACAAGTCTACTGGAGTTGGAAGGTCTCCCGCATCTGATGCTGCAGAGTTTGGGTATCTCATCTCTCTGTACGACTACAACGACGACGACCGCTTGGGTATGTATTGAGCCTCAAATCTCAAGTGTCTCAATGCACGGGTTAGCGGTAGCCTCAGCACCCCGTGCATGCTTAAGAGGCGATGAACGGGATGAGGTTTAGACTCTGTGAGCTGGTTCTCTGCAGGTCCTCATACCCCAAGTACGTGTACAGATCAATGCTCATGATATCGATCACAGGATGGTTTGGTCCGCTCTTTGGTTGCCGAAACAAAAGAACTGCAATGTTGGATGATGTTCTGTCGTGCAGAGTATCGGTATAGAGTATCATTCCATTAACATGTATTGCAGGTACATGATAGCATTTTGTACAACACGACCTGTATAATCAAGGTCAAGACCTCCTCGTTACATCCCCACCTGACCAGGTATCCTTGCAACTTGTACCAAACATTCAGTCACTTACCATTGGTTACCATTTAGTTACCAACAGTAGAATTTCCCCCACAACATTGTCTTTACCATCGTTGATCCTTCCGGTAGTTAGAGTTATTCCCCTTTGACGGTTGAATACTTTGCAGCGTATTGTGCAATATGGCTTTGTAGGTTCGTGTAATGTATCACGTAATTCTACATGGAGGAACAGACATATCTCTGACAGTTGCCATGCTGTAATGTATGCGGTTTGTATAATACAACCTCTGTTGAACCTCCCAGACACACCGTGGTAAACAGTATCAAGGCAGCCATGGTCTAGAGGCCAACAAGGGGGCGATGGCGTATACTAAGTCTTGTGTTCATTCCAGTAAACAACAGGTGTCTTGCCAGCAACAGCGACTGCAGCGCGATATGTCTGCCCACCACTTCCGACAGGGTGTGCGCATGTGCAGACGGAACTGACTTGCAAGACGACAGGAAGACATGTGTTAGAGGTGGGCAACAATCTAGATATCAATTTGTTTGTCTCAGCGTAGGTAAAACCGTCCTTCTACCACATACACGCGGTGCCATAAGCTATGTGGCACGACGCTGGAACCGAATAGGTACATGTGAAATATAGACGGTGAAGACATGCGTGAAGCGTAAGTTATGGCTTGGATAAATCTAGAATATTGTATATTTTGGACAGTGCCACTCGTTATGTTAAAAGCGTCAAAGAGTTGATTATTGCCACATATTTGTTATATTACACTCAAAGGATTAGCAGGTTTTGTAGAAAACAAGTCTGTAAAATACAAGATTAACACTTGACCAATAAAACAGAAATATGCTGCTTCATTTTATTTCAACAGCCGCCGTGTGTCCTACATCTATGAAGAATGGAGCACTGACACAAGGCTGTAACCCATATCCCAGCAGGGTGTGCGGATATACGTGTAATGTCGGATACAGGTCGAACTTCCCCTCTCGGATCTCCTGCACGGCGAGTGGACAGTGGAACGTTTCTCAGGAGCTGCTCTGTACAGGTAAACACGGAGTATATATGTGACTGAGGGAGGTTTTACGCCGTTTTGAACAATATTCCAACAATACCACGGCTGGGGACACCAGAAATGAGCTTCTCATTATGCACCAGTCAATCGAACCCGGGTCTTCGGTGTGAGGAGAGGAGGCTTTAACCACTGAGCCACCCCTTCCCTGTAAAGGGACGTTCCTGCCACCACTGACTGAGCAGAGGGGCAGTATGCCACAGTTGTGTAGAGACAGATATTTCTATTCCTTGCCGTGTATGTTATTATAAGGGTAAGGCTATTCTTGAGGGCAATTATCATTTGCAAAAGTCCGAAGTCTTCCATTCCAGTTGAAAAAGACCGAGGGCTTCTGCAAATGATAATGTCCTAAAAAATAGCATTACCGTTATTATTGCTAAAATACATGGAATTTGTGTTGAAAAGAAAAAGGAAACAATGAAGGAATTTGACTGTAAATTTACTCAAAACCAACTTCTGACGGGGTTGACTGACCGAATGCAATTGTGTCATCGAACAATTCAAGTTACGTCACGACAGAACGTGACGTTATTCGACCTTGGCCTTTGACAAGACCATAACCTGCAACATGTCAAACTGTGTCAGACAACGCCAGTTGTCAGTGTTCGGTTTTGGTCCAACAACAACTTTAACAGTGCAATTGTAAAGGTTAGCACCAGCAAGAAAGCCAATATTACCGCTATTTAAAGCGGGAATTCGGGTTGCTTTGACAGGTTTGCCCCAGAATATCTGTCAGTCGAAAGCCAAAGTCGAATGAACCGACCCACCCACTATGACGTCACTTGCGACAGAACTGATAGTGGCCCGTCGTTAAGGTTGAGCGGTCCAATATCATTTGCAGCGGCCCGCAAATTTCTTATAATTCCATGTGTTTTAGCTATAATGTCTCTTATTCATCTTGTTATATTCATCTTTGATTTCCAAACATGTGTGATGTACAAAACATCAGAGATTATTGCACTAGCAAGAATCATATCACTGCAAATCTTATCAGGCCTCTTGCGAAGCACTGAAACAAAAAAGTTCAATCTCCAGGTATTGATTAGTGATTAGCGATCACCGATTGGCAGACTAGGTAGGAACATTTGTGTCAAAACCCTGCGGAGATTTAGGATCGCTGTAACTATTCGCTTCCATTTGAAAATGGAATATAATTACATTATCAACCCGAAGAAGTGAATCTGCTTGTTAAATGAGTAACTTGAATGTCTTTGTAGAGTTAGTAACCCAGCCCAAGTCTTCAAATACAAGCGCTGTCATCGGCGGGTGTGTTGCAGCAGTCGTTGTAGTCATCATCATCATTGCCGTCATCATATACATCAGAAGGTAGGATTTTCTTGTCAAAATCACACTCAAATCAACCTTGATTTATTCCAAATCTATCACTCTGGTTATTAAACGGTCCATATATCTGGACGAAGCAGATTATCTAAGTCGTGTGTATGTCAGTATTTCTCCACTAATCGTTCTGCCTGTTTGACTGAACCCCATGTTGACGATGTTTTGTTGTTAACGCTGTCCTCGTTCTTCTGTGTCAAGGCGAGGAGCTAGCGAACGACATCCGGGGCTCTCAGCTACGTGGTCCACCGAGCCAATCATAACAGTGACCAAGCCAGAGGAGATGTACGATGAGATTGGTCCTTCCGACGATACAATGAATAGATACATTTCCTTTCGAAAAATCAGCCCTAATCCTGAAAGGAAAAACTTTGCTGACGGCTCTTTGACCGCGAACCCTCTGTACGGATCGAGTTCTCAAAGAAAAAACTTTGCTGACGGCTCTGAGACCGCGAACCCTCTGTACGGATCGAGTTCTCAAAGAAAAAACTTTGCTGACGGCTCTGAGATCGCGAACCCTATGTACGGCACGAGCAACCGTCTGCCTGTCCCTGCCCCACGTCCCGCGTCCAGCTTCACCCCAAACACTAGGAGACGGATGATGAACAACGAGTCCCCCGTCCCCGACTACGACACCCCCCGATCCGAGTCTGGCTCCTACCTTGACCTTACCAATTGCCAAGAGACGGGGCCAAGAGCTTAGACCGTTCCAGTTGTCATGGAGATGACAAATAAACATAGTTAACAGACATCTCACAATTGAAAATGCGCACGTTACCTGTTTCATCTGTGTGGTCAATAACAACAGCAGTGTGGACACAGGTACAGCACGATCTCCAGGGTGCGGCGAAGTCCGACCTTACCGACCAGGTTTTGTCGCAGGGTGCAACGTATCAAAGACACATTCAATGTTATGTAACCCAGTTAAACACTGTAAAGTCAATGTTTCATGGTCCGTTCATTTTTCCGTTTGTCTTGAAGCACCAACTGGTAATTTTAATAAATTTTTTAACAAATAATTAACCACTCAACCCACTCTGGGATCTCATTATCCCTTATACTCACATTCCTCACCACTGGTTTCTCACTAATTAATCCCCAACCACCTTGGCTTCTGCCTAATTAACTTACATTCTCTAATTGTCATGGTAATCCCACTCATCTCATTTTGTTATCTTCAGCTCATCATCATGTCATTGTAGCTCATCATGTAACTTTCTTTGATGTTTGTTTCCCCACCTTTGTTATTGTTATCGTATTATCTTATCTTGTATATAAACTGGTGTACCCCATCATTCCCCCATTTGCTTGAAAACGGTATAAAGAGCCTATACTGAAACGTCGCTATTGTTAAAATACAGAAGTTGATGATCCATAAAGTTGTGTCCACCGAGCCAATCATAACAGTGACCAAGCCAGAGGAGGTGTACGATGAGATTGGTCCTTCCGACGATACAATGAATAGATACATTTCTTTTCGAAAAATCAGCCCTAATCCTCAAAGGAAAAACTTTGCTGACGGCTCTTTGACCGCGAACTCTCTGTACGTATCAAGAGTTCTCAAAGGAAAAACTTTGCTGACGGCTCTGAGACCACGAACCCTATGTACGGATCGAGTTCTCAAAGGAAAACTTTGCTGACGGCTCTGAGACCGCGAACCCTCTGTACGGATCGAGTTCTCAAAGGAAAAACTTTGCTGACGGCTCTGAGACCGCGAACCCTCTGTACGGATCGAGTTCTCAAAGGAAAAAACTTGCTGACGGCTCTGAGACCGCGAACCCTCTGTACGGATCGAGTTCTCAAAGAAAAAACTTTGCTGACGGCTCTGAGATCGCGAACCCTATGTACGGCACGAGCAACCGTCTGCCTGTCCCTGCCCCACGTCCCGCGTCCAGCTTCACCCCCAACACTAGGAGACGGATGATGAACAACGAGTCCCCCGTCCCCGACTACGACACCCCCCGATCCGAGTCTGGCTCCTACCTTGACCTTACCAATTGCCAAGAGACGGGGCCAAGAGCTTAGACCGTTCCAGTTGTCATGGAGATGACAAATAAACATAGTTAACAGACATCTCACAATTGAAAATGCGCACGTTACCTGTTTAATCTGTGTGGTCAATAACAACAGCAGTGTGGACAGTGTCGTCGTGGGCGATGTTCGGTGTATGTGTCGGCGAAGGTGGAGCGAAGACAGACACAGGTACAGCACGATCTCCAGGGTGCAGAGTCCGACCTTACCGCCATTTTGTCGCAAGCAACGTTTCAGACACACGTTCAACGTTATGTAACCCAGTGTAAACAATGTTTCATGGTCAGTTAATTTTTCCGTTTGTCTTGAAGCACCAACTGGTAATTTTAATAAATATTTTATCACTACGTTTATGTAACGTCAATCTTGTTGCAAAGTTGCTCCGTCATTATGAACATTCTGTGAACATTGTGGACAATACAACATGATTTGTTTGAGTAGCATTTTAGAAGTTGCTGGTATAGAGATGACACAACTTTATGGATGATCAACAACTATATTTTAACAATAGCAACGTTTCGGTATACACTACAAAGCAAAAAACAGCCTAAAGGTGTGGTTTACAACATCAGCTGCGACTGTGGCAGCAACGTGCACTACATTGGTGAAACATCCAGACCACTCAACATACGCATCAAAGAACACAAGACATCCACAACACAAGACAGACACAACACAAGACATCCACATCCACAACACAAGACATCCACAACATAAGACATCCACAACACAAGACATCCACAACACAAGACATCCACAACACAAGACATCCACAACATAAGACATCCACAAGACATCATCACAAGACATCCACAACACAAGACATCCACAAACATGATTACACCACAACACCAGCCTCCAAATTGGCATCCACAAATTTCATCAACACAACATCAACTTAGACACATGTTAAACACTCTAAACACTTAACAACACTGATTACACTCAGCGGAAATTGGCCGAAGCATTACAAATACGACATTTTAATCCCTCTATTAACAGAGATCAAGGCTATTACATCCCCTCAGCCTCCATCACCTAATCCACAAATAATTAACCACTCAACCCACTCTGGATCTCATCATCCTTCATACTCACATTCCTCACCACTGGTTTCTTACTAATTACTCCCCCCACCACCACCTTGGCTTCTGCCTAATTAACTTACATTCACTAATTGTCATGGTAATCCCACTCATCTCATTTTGTTATCTTCAGCTCATCATCATGTCATTGTAGCTCATCATGTAACTTTCTTTGATGTTTGTTTCCCCACCTTTGTTATTGTTATCGTATTATCTTATCTTGTATATAAACCGGTGTACCCCATCATTCCCCCCATATGCTTGACAACGGTATCAGAACCTATACTGAAACGTCTCTATTGCAAAAATAAAGAGGTTGATGATCCATAAAGTTGTGTCATCTCGACAATACAAACTGTGATAATATCGAAGGAACACTTTACCTACGCATATATCAAACTCAATGATGTGTTCTTAAATGACATTGTGAGTTTCTTCAGTGACAAGTTAATGTGCATATGTTATATTTGTGAGTGTTGATGTTACTTATACACAATAACGTCATGCATAATACCGCACAGCTTAAACATAAGCCCGAATCAACCACAGATGGTCTACACGTGCTGCACGGGTCCATAAGCGACTGCTCGCGATGTCCGCGCCCATGCAGGGGAGGATGGAGGAAATGATATGAATTTTCTGATGAACATATATAACGTAGTGTAAATGAAACATATTCTATATCTACACAATTTAGTAACGCGCGTCGATTATGGGACAGACGATTAGGATACATATATACTGAGGGAAACAAATAAGGGAACACCACTTCATGACACTGATCCTTTATTTATTCTCAGATTTCCTCCCTCAGCGCTATTCAAAGCTGGTGATGAAAACTGGAAAACATTAAAGCAACACTTGAAGTTTCCAGTGTTCCCTTATTTGTCTCCTTCAGTATATACCGCAAATGACCGTAAATAATCTGGGTCCATTACCTGATGAAACAGATTTGTTTTTACGGAAAACCCCTGCAGGCAAAACACATCTTACGACGCAAATATAGTTTAGACTTTACTGTTCTTTACTGTCTATTTGATAAGAGTATATTTCAATACGTACTGCAGTTCTTGCTGCACAGTATCCGGAATATAAAGGCACGCTTAACTCATGTCATACTGTTCATAATAATATTTACATGTTGATATTGCATTATACCTTAAATATATGTCTGTGATAGATACATGTACACATCATTAGTGCACCGTTGAGGAACATGTGCTATAGTATAGTCATAACGCGTTAGCGAGTCCGTGTACGTGACCTGATGACACAAGCAATATTTCGGACACATAGTAAATGAGTTGGTTTTATGCCGCTTTTACCAATATTCCAGCAGCATCACGTCTATGGATACAAAATTGGGCTTTCTTGTGTCAACAGGAGAAATTGAACCCTGACCTTCGAAGCGTCAAACGAACGCTTTAATCACCAGGCCACCAGTTCACCGCCTCTCATCCATATAGCGAAAGGTGATTTGTCAGTATTCATTAATCACTCCCCAAACCACTCTTATGCTAGTTAAAATGCCTTGTGCATGTTGCCACTACGATTCAGCTGTGTTTTGTACATATCGTTGTAAATATACTTGATCTGTGACATATAATGTGTTGTCTGATGCGGATTGTCCTTGTGTTTCCTTGTATATGTGTATGGAATAAGGTGTTACTTGCACACATCAAAATTTTCAAATAAAAGTTTTGTTTGAATGTTGAAGTTGTAGTATTCAAAGGCAGAATATCCATTGAAAACACCTTTCAAAACATTATGTCCCAAATTATCCAAACCATCCAACACTTTCATTTCATGGCCATCACGGTTGTTCAGTTATTCCATTGTTCAGTTCCCATCACGGTTGTTCAGTTATTCCATTGTTCAGTTGCATAATCTGTTAACTCACGATGTCCATTCCACTGCTTATGGTTATCAAGACCCATCATACTGCTACTAAGGTGGAAGTCAGATAATCACATTTTGTCTTTTTGTGTCAGTAAGGCCCCTTGTCAGCTATTCAGATATCATCCACAATAACATGAGCATCTTCCAAACAATTAGGATTTCTACTCTAACATATTTTGGATGGTGTCAAAGCGTGTGCCACACAAGGGTATAAAGACAGAAGGTGCTTATGTTGAATGGCTTTCATGGGTTCCAGTCGGAGGTAGAATACACAAACTGCAAAATAGGAAGCACAGCTCCAGTAAATAATTCTGTCCTGGCCAAATTCTGACTGCCTAACAAGTTGATCATGAGAAGGATCATGAGAAGGCTTCCATTATATGCAAGCATCACTGCATTGATTGTGTTATCAAAGAGCTGGTATGTCAAGTGAGGAAATGTCTTAAAATCATGCATTGATACATTGAACATTTGACTTGATTGTAAAACCTGACATGTCCAGTAATGGTACTTTAGTCAGAAACCGCCTCCGTGGTGTAGTGGTTAGAACGTCCACCCGGAGAACAGAAGGTCGCGGGTTCGATCCCCGACCGCGTCATACCAAGAGACGTTAAAATATGGTACTTGTTGGTCCCTGCCTGGCGCTCGGCATTAATGGGTACAACAAGGACTGGTCGGCTCGGAGTCAGTATAATGTGTCTGAGTGGGGTATTCATCTTTCACTGCGGCATGGTATCTCAGTGGGCTAGCACTATAAAACCAGCTTAAGTCTGGGCTAGTACAAGCAGCCTGACATACATATACACACGCATGCACGTCGTCATATGAGCGAAATATTCTCAAGCACGACGTTAAAACCAAATTTCACCTCACCTCACTTTCGACAAATACATTTCATACCTTGACACACTCTCATCTCGGTATATTGAGCATATCTGGTTAATCTGGACGATGTTACTATGAATGGTATTATCCAGGTTAGCGAGGGGTCACTGTGTTGAGATAGTGTAAAATCGCCGTGTACTCAGCACTTCTTTACATCAACATAGAGCAAGAGTGGAAACAAAGCAAAGTCGCTGTTGATATTTATTCATTTCAAGACAAGACCTTCCATATTGATATTCGCCATCGTGGATTTAACATGGTGTGAAGATGGAGGCAGAATGAATGAGTGAATAATACAGAGTTCGAACAGCCACCTTTCCTGAGACAAATCTAGCAATTTTAAGGTAACACGAGGTAACCACAAGGATGACTTATATTCTAAATATATTCAATGCGTCTGACACTTAACTGAATGCTTTGTCCAGTTAGCACCATGGCGTAGCACAAACGAAAGGCACGAGACATTGTTACCATGACAACCGCCGATTAATTATCTGATGAGTAAACAGGGAAATGTCCTTCATGTGTACTCCACGATGCAGATGCTTGTTAGATTAAGCCTTGGCCATATCCTCGTCATCCTGTTTGCCCTTGACCTTGGCGGTGAAGGCCACGTAGTTGAACATGCCCTTGGAAATAGGGGCCTCCTTCCACGTCTGTTTGATCTCCTCCTTCGTGAAGTTGTCTCCCATGTTCTCCAGGAGATCCTTGATGTACTCCTCGGGCAGCACGCCCTTGCCCTCCTCGTCAAACATGGCGAAGGCGCTACGGATGGTCTCCTCGCCGTCCGTCCCTCCCATCTTCTCCCCGAACAGGTTGAGGAAGGTGGTGAAGTTCAGGGGACCAGGGGCCTCCTTCAACATCTCCTTCAGCTCGGAGTCGGCGGGCACTTTGCCCAGGTTGCCGTAGATGCTCTTCAGGTCGTCTATTTCGATGACGCCGTCCCTGTTGACGTCGATGAGGGCGAAGGCTTCCTTGAACTCCTGCACCTGAGACTGACGGAACATGGAGAACACGTTCTGGGGCGCCATTGCTGGATGAAGGAGCTGTGGGCAGACAACGTCAGACTTCTAAACGTGATGGAAGTGGGAATGGTTGGGACAGAGGAATTCTTCTCAATATATGTTGGAATTGGTTATCACGTGACTTTAGGTACGCGGTATCACGTTACGAACATCCCTCTGTTCACGGGACGTCACGCGATGATGGTGTAACGTCTCATGCAGCGGGAAGCTGCTCGTGCACGTGGACCCCATGTAGTGTCACTTCTCCAAACTAATTGCCTGGTTATGAGCATCGACTTTACCTCGGATGTGTAATCAAACTGGTTCGAAATATTACGACTGAAACAAGTCATATTTACGTGTGTATTTCCTATCACGTTTCTGCTTATTCTTGACAGTATGTGTCGGTACATGTGTTTTAACACTGTTAGCGTTTTCTGTTATAATCTACACAGTGAAATGATACATGTTGTAGTTTCAGGGAAATTTCATGTTCATAGCATGCCAGTAAATATTACATTCAGGTCAGGGGAGGACGTTCAGCAGAGGGGAAAGGCGATGTGTGAAATTCACAGAGCGCGAGATACCTAGACTGGATCATGCAAATTCCACATTAATATTTTCTGCACAATATACTCAAATAAATGTAAAGCGAGTGTGTAAAATATTATGACTTAACTAGTTCTCATAATTTAAAACATCGCAATTTGAAGTGACGCTTAAGTTAACTTTTTTTTCAAATTGAAACATTCCATTAATTAGTTTAAAGCTACATCTCAGTCTTCACCTAATCCCCCCTCCCTCCATTCTCTTGTAAAATCTCACCAACACACACGTATGCGTCTCCTCCCCTCCCAAACCCCCACACCCATCGCACACACGTGCACATATCCTTTCCAGCCAGATGCCTATACCTACTTCTGGGATGGCCACAGTGCAGTGGTGATATTGATGTACCCTGTGGTGCCACGCCTGGGAGTAAGCCGGCTAATTAACATTAAAATAGACTGGATTCACCCCATGTTTATCTTCATATATCTTGTTATTCTACTTACATAAATGCACATATATCCTGCATTTACGTATCTTATTGTTCCGCTATTCATACCTTTATATTAAACATAAATCAATTTAATTCTAGGTTAGAAAATGACCGCAAAACGTTGTACTTTGTTATTGTAGTGGATTCAGGTATGTGCGATATCTGGTTATAAATGTTGTTAGATGAGGTTAGATGAGGTTCCCACCATGATATACTTGACCTGCGACAACGTATATCCTATGGTCTTTGGTGACAATGATGACGTCATCATTCCTGGTGAGGCGTTGTACTTTGCTCATAATATCAGTCACCGGTCTGTCTGGTCCAGACTTTATCATTTACACGCTGCCTTCATGTATCTGGAATATTGCTGGAAATGGCGTGAAACAACAAATATACAATGTTGATAGTGATATCATACGTTAGTTGAATGTGAGCTAAATGGTTTGACGAGGAACTGACTTTCCCTCTTTAGTGCTATCCATTCAGTTCACTGTCAAGTGAATGAATCTGGGTAAAGACCTAAATAAACCGTCTGTGTAAGGTATTGTAAATAGTCACTGCTTCTACTGCCCCTCGACCCAGTGTGACGTTTCATGTGATCTTAACAGTATCAGATAAAACACTGGTAGTGCATGTTTTAAGATAGGCAACGTGAGGTAAAACGGTGATTTTGAGATGAGTGCAATATACTGCACTTCTATACTGCAAGCTCCATGAGATACCAAGCGGCAGGTGCATGGATACTACACTCAGACACAGTACTGCGATGACGAACCGACTAGTCCTTGTTTTTCCCCTACATTGACGAGCGTCGGGCACGGTAGTGAGTGAGTGAGTGTACTTTTACGCCGCACTCAGCAATATTCCAGCTATATGGCGGTGGTCTGTAAATAATCGAGTCTGGACCAGACAATCCAGTGATCAACAGCATGAGCATCGATCTGCGCAATTGGGAACCGATGACATGTGTCAACCAAGTCAGCGAGCCTGACCACCCGATCCCGTTAGTCGCCTCTTACGACAAGCATAGTCGCCTTTTATGGCAAGCACACGGGTTGCTGAAGACCTATTCTACCCCGGATCTTCACGGGTCTCGGGCACGGTAAATTGATGTAACATATTGTCACTTATCTTGGTACGACGAAGCCGGTAATCAAACTGTTGACGTCCCAGTCTCGGTCAGATTTCAGTTGGTCATCCCCAGTGTAAGTGGTGACACATTCATTTTACAATTCTGACGAGAGACCGGTTAAAGACAGGTTCGTTCGCTACTTCAACACATACATCTTTTATCTAAAATTAGAGCCTAGTAACAATACGTATTCCTGTCAAGATAGCCGGCATGTTCAGCAACAGTTGTATCTTGTAGTTTGAAGAAAAGAGAACCTGAGATCAATGTAACATAACACTCCATCGTCATCAAAGTCGTCATTATCACCGTCATCATCATGTTCCTACCATGAGATCAATGTAACATAACACTCCATCGTCATCAAAGTCGTCATTATCACCGTCATCATCATGTTCCTACCATGAGATCAATGTAACATAACACTCCATCGTCATCAAAGTCGTCATTATCACCGTCATCATCATGTTCCTACCATGACATCAATGATTGCTACGTGTTGGCGTGTATGCATGTAGTGTATACATAATTCGATACCACTTCCCATGTATAAACCATTCATACCATAAAATTACAGAAGCATTTTCAGATAATGGTTATCTCGGAGTCGTGTTGACAATCGTGAAATGGTGGCAACTGTTAAAACTCATCCAGCGAAACCATGAGTCCTGAAGCCAGCAAGTAACTTCAAAACAATACCAGCTGTGATTCCCGTTCTGCTCAGGACATTAGTTCTAGTGTTATAACTACCACTTACAGCATGTGAAGAAAACGATCTAGCGCCATCTAGGTCGATAAATCTTGATGGGATTAGACAGCTCTTGGAATGTTGTCTTGATGACTGTCTCACATAATATATATGTTTGTTTGCTGACTAACCCATCACTCAGCGTCATTTCATCTGAATGAGGACAGTGTGTCATATTTGTAAAAATACGTATATCCATGAACCACGGGGAGTGTTTTTTAATAAACTTGATTGATTGATTGATTGTTAATAATCCAGTGTGCACCAGACAGCCCAGTGATTGGCACTATGATCGTCTCTCTACGTAATACAGAGATAACCAAGCAAGTTTTCGAGTCTCACCACCCGATCCGTAAGTCTCCTCTTTGAACAAGGGAAGCTGCCCTTTATGACAAGTATGGGTTACTGAAGACTAGTTCTAACCCTGATTTCCTCTCGTCTTACCTAGCAGCGATACAGTGCGACCATCTTCAGCGAACCAAGCTATCAGGAAGTATTTCGACACTTATTTTCTAAATTTTCTTGCACGCTGATTTGTATATATACTATGGAATCCGAGAAGGGACATTGTCGCGTTGTCGCATTGTCGCCCTCTCAAAAACAAGTAATATGAGGCAAAATAAACCAAAATGCGACAACGCGACATATCACCAATTCGTCGCATTGTCGCGATGTCGCGTGTCGCGTTTTGAAAAATATTTTTTTCATTCCTCCAAAGGGCGACACGCGACATAGCGACAATTTTCAAGGTCAAAATACGTCGCGTTGTAGCATTGTCGCCCTATCTAAGATGCGTAAAAAAAGCCTAAAAATTGACTAAAACGCGACACGCAACAATGCGACATATTGAATGTGTCGCATTGTCGCGTTGTCGCCCTTTTCTATTACCGGTGCGCATGCGTAGAAAGTCAATTACACTACGCATGCGCAGCTAAAGTTATACTCTCTATCACACTTCAGTGGTCTTTTGTTACCTCCAATGGTTTTAAAATGACGTAGTACTCGTAATGGTAATGGGGGCTGCTTTTCTTGAACCTAATGGACATTTTTCATTGTTGCTTTGAAAATTATTTTATATATTGTAAATGTATTTAGCCAATCAAGTGTGTTTTAGCAGCAACACAAATTATTAGCGCTACTATTCATTTTAATGACGGCACACGGTGGCCCTGTCATTCAAGGCGAGGCAATTTGCTGTGCAGAGTTGTGTCTCTTAGTCACACCAGAAAACTATGATCATAGGTTCGAACCCCAGCACCATACACATTCATCACTTTGGAACCTGTGAAGATCCGGGTTAGACTGTGCCTTCAATAACCCATGCTTGTCGTAAGAGGCCACTAACGGAATCGGGTGGTCAGGCTCGCTGACTTGGTTGACACATGTCATCGCTTCCCAGTTGTGCAGATCGCTGCTCATGGTGTTGATCACTGGGTTGTCTGGTCCAGATAATATTTAACAGACCGCCGCCATATAGCTGGAATATTGCTGAGTGTGGCGTAAAACTAAACTCACTCACTCACTCACTTTGGACATTTCACCGATATCAAGCTCACAGGTTGTGAAAAAACATCAGGTGATGTCCTCGAATGGGTCACTATGTTCGACAGTGTCGCTCCTGACAGAGTTTCTTGGTACAGTCCTGTCCGACGCTGATGAATTTGTCCCACACCTGCCTCTGTTCAGCCAGCAGTGGATGGATACCAGGTAGAATGAGATGGTAATATCACTTAACCATCCTATGTCGGCTTTGAGCGTGATATTCTTCTTGGGAAAACGCCATACAAATGGACTGTTATAATTATGATATTAGAAACGATGAAATCACTTGGCAGAGCTGCGTACCCTGGAGTGCCAGAAACCAACCAATGCGACAATGCGACAATGCGACATATATTTTGTCGCATTGTCGCGTGTCGCGTTATAGTCATATGTTATAATACATACTATACTCAATATTTTAACAAAGCGCGACACGCGACAATGCGTTTTAGGCTGTTTTTAAACACCTTATATAGGGCGTAAAAGGCGACAACACGACACATTTTGACCTTGAAAATTGTCGCTATGTCGCGTGTCGCCCTTTGGAGGAATCGAAAAAATATTTTTCAAAACGCGACATGCGACATCGCGACAACGCTACAAATGGGCGATATGTCCCGTTGTCGCGTTGTCGCGTTGTCGCATAGTCGCGCTTTGGTTAATTTTGCCTCATTTTGCTTGTTTTTGAGAGGGCGACAACGCGACAATGTCCCTTCTCGGATTCCATAATATACTTCATGTTGGCATTCCATGTGAGTTTCGAATCAACAAATATCTTGGCACCATTATTGATCGAAGCTCACATGGAATGCGAACACAGAGCACACTTCAAGAATTGATTGTTAGCGTGTCTTAAGAAACTTATTCCTGATAATAAAATACTCTTCATATGTTTAATACAATATATATAATATATTGTTTCTCGGCGTGTCTTAAGAAACTTATTCTTGATAATAAAACACAGAGCACTCTTCATATGTTTCCTAATAAACTTAATATAATAAAATATATATATATATATATATATATATATATATATATGTATAGAAATATTGGATATATATACTGAGTCAAAAAGAAACTTCACAGAATGTAATTTGAAAAATAATGAATAATGTTTCTCTGATGATACATCTATGTATCCGAAATGGGATCCCTATCTTCGACTCTAGAAAACTTGAGCAAAACCCACTCAAACCCATCCATTCGTCGTGCAAATGACGTGAGTGCCAAATCAGGTTTTGCACGTGCAGGCGAGCAAGTGATCTTCGCATCGACGTTTTCTTCATATGAACGTGTTTGCATTGGCCTCACGAATTGAAAACACACTTTATACCACAGTTCTAACGGTACTTGAAATGCCACGATTGTCAAATGTGTAACGTGAACATGCCGTTGGCATGTTGCAAGCGGGAAGATCAGTTATTGACGTCGCAAGAGCAATGGGATGCAGCCGTCGTTCTGTGTATGACTTGCGAGGTCGTCTACAAACAAACTGGCACCACTTCTGATCGCCCAAGGTCGGGTCGTCCACGTGTGACGTCACGAGCAGAAGACCGTCAATCGTCCTACGTCACCTTACGTGACAGATTTCTGCCGTCTACACGAACCAAGGCTGAGATGTTTAGAGGTCGACTGTCCCTCACAGACCATTCGAAATCGGTTGCGGGCTGCCAATCTCCATTCTGAACGTCCATATCGTGGGCCAATATTGACGCTGTTTCATCAACGTCAACGTCTGCTGTGGGCCCAACGTCACCTCCGATGGACCCAGAGAGACTGGAATCGAGTCGTCTTAGCGATGAATCCAGGTTTACCCTCAGATTCGCGGACGGCAGGCATAGAGTCTGGAGACGACGTCGTGAACGGTATGCCCAATGTTGTG